ATCAGGGGGTTGCTCTGCTGGCTGCATTGCTGGAATAGTAGTTGCCTGTTGTGTCCTCATTGCTGGAGCTGTTGCTGGAGGGTACTTCATGTATAACAAAAAGTAAGTGGGAAATACCTTGAAATATAACCAGGAAATGTTTTTCTTCAAAAATGAATAATCACAGTAATAGTCACAACTTAACTGCATAGTTAAACAGCAGTGGTTGACATGCATCAAAGGAGGACTTCCCAAAGTGGGAGTGTACAGTACTCTGTGTGACCTCACATTCAACTGTAAATCCTTTTTGTTTTCTGATAGTGACACCAAACTTTATATAATAAGATTTTTGTCTAATAATTTATGTATTATTATTTTTAATGTTGTTTGTTTTAATCGATTTATGTAATGTATGTACGGTGTCCTTGAGTGCCGAGAAAGGCGCCCCTAAAAAAAAGTCTTATTATTATTGTTTATTAATATTTTATTACCATGTAAAAATACTAAACTGATCTAAACTGTCATCTGGAGTTGAAACTAACTTTCAGTACAGTTATGAAACTCAATGTAAAAATGAACATTTGTTAATAACTTTGGACTTAATGCTTCATTCCTCATATTTAGAATGAAAAAGAAACCTCAGACAGATGTGGCAGGTACGTATTCAGATCACCCTGTACTGGGACTGTCATATAAATACAGTGTCCTATGAAAAGTAGTCAGCCCCTCCCCTTGGAAGTTTCCCCTTGTTTTGCTTTTCAACACTGAATCACGGCCAGTTTTGCTTTGGCTTTTTTGACAAGAATTTAGAAAAGAAAAGAAAAATGTCAACATTAAAACAGATGAGCATTCTCAATTAATATCTATATATAATGCAAAATATATGTGATTGCACAACGTCCTCCCCCTTTAGGTATTTCCTCGGTGCACCTTTGGCATCAGTTAAAACATTAAGCCTGTTTGGAGAGGTCTTAATCATTCTTGCATATCTTAGCACTACAATAATACCTCATATTTTTCTTCAGAATGACTCAAGCCCTGTCAGGTTACACAGGGATTGTGAGCGAACAATTCTTTTTTAAGTCATGATGCTGCCACCACCATGCTTCACAGTGGGGGTGGTATGTGTGTGATGATTGTTCCAAAACACTTACTTTTGGTCTCTTCAGACCAAACCTTCTACCAGGTGACCTCAGGGTCTTTCACACGTATTCTGGAGAACTCTCGTCGAGATTTAATATGAGATTTTATTAACAATGACTTCCTCTTTGAAACTCTTCCATAAGGCTTTAACTGGTGAAGAACAGGTAACAGTTGCTGTACACTGTGTCTTCAGACTTAGCCGCTGAAGCTTGCATCTCCTTCAGAAGAGTCATAGGAGTCTTTGTGGCCTCCCTCACTTGCACGGTCAGTCAGTTTTAGAGGAAGGCCTGCTTGAGGCAGATTTACATATGTACCATGTTTCCTCTGTTTCTTAATGATAGACTTTACTGTACTCCAAGGGATATCCAGTGATTTAGACATTTCTCAATAACCTTTTCACAGACTTACTTGGAGTGTTCTTTTGTCTTGATGGTGTAGTTATAGCCAGGGGTACTGATTCATCAGTGACCTTCCAGCCTTAGACGTCTTCATACTACAATCTTTTAAGACACTTTCACTGCACTCAGGTGATCCCTATTTAACGAACTGTGTTACTTCTAGCACCAGTTGGTTGCACCAGTGTTTAACTGGATGAGTCACTTCAAAAGGGGTACTTGTTTAATATATGCTATAAAATACTAATGCAATTGTGGAGATGGGTGTNGTAGTCGGAAAAATAAAGACAGTGACATTGTTCTGGTATATTTCTCAGTCATTTTTTTCACCACACAAATAGATTCAAGCTGCATCACATTGTACTGTATTAAAATGTATCGTTAGTGAATCGTATCGTAACCCATGTATCTAGATTCGTATCGGATCGTCTCTCAAGGTAAACATGCACACCCCAACTAAATTTGTAACTTTGGTCACAGTCGACAGCTGTCAGCTCCCAACCAACTGTGCTCTACCTGTCCAGCTCCAAATGTTAACTAATGAGCACAGGGGAACTATGAGAGACTAAATGTTGTGGATCGCCAAAGTTGGTGGAGACCAAAACAGAGCAAAAATCACAGTGTATGTTGGAAATGTTGCTCAGAACAGTTTGCACTGGATGTGGAGCCTAAATCGGTACTTTTTGCAAACAAGTCGACCAGCATAAACTATGATTATATGTCAGTGCCATGTTTGCCTACACACTACTCTCAACTTTTCTTTGTATGTTATTTATTTATTTAGATTTTATCACTTATTTAGCCTTCAGTTCTGCAGTTACTTTTGTTGTGATTGTCATATTTTTCATCATCTATTTTGTGCCTAACAGAGAAAATATTGGATTCTTCTGTCAAACCATCAATAAATCTGACGGTCGAGGGGACGTCTGTCAACTTAACCTGTGAGGCCTGTGGCTCCATCTTCACCAGGACATGGAAGAAGGACGGCTCAGATCTGATCCTGGATGACAACATGATGCTTTCTGACAATAACAGATTGTTGTCTTTCAACCCTGTGAACAGAAAGGACAGCGGAGAATATTCCTGTAATATCAGCAACCCCGTCAGCAGTGATGAAGCTGAATACAACATGGTTGTTAACTGTAAGCAACATGCTGTTCAGTGTACATTAACTGTACAAACACATACGATGAACCACAAGTGGCAACGTATTGAGTAGTTAGTTGTTGTTTTTTTTTTTTGTAATTTTCAAACATATATTTTCCCAGACGGATCAGGGGGTTGCTCTGCTGGCTGCATTGCTGGAATAGTAGTTGCCTGTTGTGTCCTCATTGCTGGAGCTGTTGCTGGAGGGTACTTCATGTATAACAAAAAGTAAGTGGGAAATACCTTGAAATATAACCAGGAAATGTTTTTCTTCAAAAATGAATAATCACAGTAATAGTCACAACTTAACTGCATAGTTAAACAGCAGTGGTTGACATGCATCAAAGGAGGACTTCCCAAAGTGGGAGTGTACAGTACTCTGTGTGACCTCACATTCAACTGTAAATCCTTTTTGTTTTCTGATAGTGACACCAAACTTTATATAATAAGATTTTTGTCTAATAATTTATGTATTATTATTTTTAATGTTGTTTGTTTTAATCGATTTATGTAATGTATGTACGGTGTCCTTGAGTGCCGAGAAAGGCGCCCCTAAAAAAAAGTCTTATTATTATTGTTTATTAATATTTTATTACCATGTAAAAATACTAAA